GCGGAGTCCGCCACCAACACAAAGGCTCTTCTCAGAGCCACCACCTCATCTGAAGAGGCTTCCTCAGTCTCCACTGAATGCACCTTTAGGTTCTGGATCACAGGATCTGTGGGGTCCTGCTCCTTAGATAAAGTTTGTAATTAAGTGGATTCAATTTCTTGCATTTTGGTGTAATTTAACAGGATAAAAATATGTGTGTAGGTAAATATTAACTTTATATATGTGTGTGTGTGTGTGTGTGTGTGTGTATGTGTGTTTGTATATATGTATTATATATATATATTTTATATATATTACATATATTTTTTATATATATATATATACATACATACATACATACATACATACATACATACAAAAGTTTTAGTTTGACTCTGTTGTGACTTGGTGGTGTTTAAACGGAAATGAATTGCTCCAGAGCCGCATCCAACCAGGGACTTGAACCATCAACACTCAGATTAAAAGTTTGTTCTCCAGGACAGTGAAGACTGTTTAGGATCAGAGGAGGAATAAGAGTTCTCCTAAAATATCTAACAACACGTGCCCGAATGTCTGGCAAACAGAACTTTGTTAACTTATACTTTTACAACAGTCTACTAATTAACACGAGTCTCAAAAAGATAAAAGTTTATATAAAAGGAGCAGTGTAGTTGCCACCAATTTTTACAGTATGGTGTACCACAAGGTTCAGTCTTAGGACCACCCCTCTTCACAATCTACATGAGTAATGTAGGTCCGATCATGATAAAGTAGTTTATTGTTGAGCTACAACAGATGCTAAGGCTTTTCCATCTTTCAGTCTGCGTTTGACCTCATCCAGTCAGATTTGTTCCATCTCAAACTTGAGCTAAATGCAAAAAGGAATGTTCCAGCAGTCCTTCCTTCCCTCTTCTCTTCAAATGGTGTCCCTATTGAGCTTGATTCTTATAAATACTTTGCCATCTTGGTCATTCGCATTTTCCTTTTAAAGCAGCACGTCGAAAACGTGCTAAATAAATTGAAAGTAAAACCGGGTCAGTGGGCGCTGCTGAGATTCAGGACCCGCCCCCTTCTGGAATCCTCTTCTCTGATTGGTCCGGCACCACATCGGCCCGCGCTGCACACATTTAAAGAAGCCCTGAGCCGCTCCGGCATCATTTTCTGTCGCTCTCAGACCAGAGAACATTCCTGAACCATGAGCGGAAGAGGCAAAACCGGCGGTAAGGCCAGAGCCAAGGCCAAGACCCGCTCGTCCCGAGCCGGACTCCAGTTCCCAGTGGGCCGTGTTCACAGGCTGCTGCGGAAGGGGAACTACGCGGAGCGGGTCGGTGCCGGCGCCCCGGTGTACCTGGC